GAGAGAGAGAGAGAGAGAGAGAGAGAGAGAGAGAGAGAGAGAGAGAGCGAGCGCAAGAGAGAACAGCAGAGACAGAAGCACCAAGACCACTGAGCTGAGGGATGGTAGACCTGAAAATGAGCCACTGCTGCCTTCCCTTCTGTTCTGTGTGGAGGGTAGTCCTCATTATTCAGATGGGCCAAAGCTTGCCATGGTGACTTCTACTCTGTCCCCTTATGGGCTACTGCTGGGAGTTCAACTTCCAAGAGACAAGTCACTATAGTTGCAAGCAGACTTGCTCCTGGGTCCAGCCCCGCAAGGCTTGTTTCTTCTGGCTCTGTCCCTCTGTTCTCTGATGTTCCAGGGAACATCTAACAAGAGAGGAACATGCTGAGGGAAGGAGCCGCCAGGCTGGCTGAGCTGAAAGGGGAAAGGTCTGGGGTTCAGGGAGAGCAGAAAGCTGGAGAGGAAGAAGCAAAGTTCTCTAAACAAACCAGACTGGAACATAAAGGAAAAGTATGGGCTAGGTCTCCATCACTATACCTCAGTGTAGAGAGCCCTGACTGCACAGGAGGGTCTGGGTCCTTAGTGTGATCTGGGCAGAGGTTGGAGCGCAGGATATCAAACTTACAGAAACTACAATACCCCGTAAAGGCTAGCATAGCACAGCCTTCTCCATGCTTTACCTGCTTTTAGGTTTTTTTTTTTTCCTCTCTGTATAGCTCTAACTGTCCTGGAACTTGTTTTTAATTATTTAAAAAGTATAACTGTGTGTGTGTGTGTGTGTGTGTGTGCACGCGCGTACACATGCATCTGTACTACATTATATGCATGTGCCTACAGAAGCCAGAAGAAGGCAGTGGAATCCTCTGCACCTAGAGTTACTAGTGGTTGTAAGCCATCGGATGTGGGTACCAAGCACTGAACCCAGATCTTCTGCAAAAGAAGGCAAGTGCTCTTAACTGCCTTAATTGTTGAAGAGATTCATGTAAAGAGTTGTTGAGAGAAAACCAGGGAGAAAAGAGACATTAGGGGAAGGGTGAGGCGAGGAAAAGTTTGGGACACTGAAGAGGAAACTGGAGAGTGAGAAAGAGCTTGGGTGTCATTACTGAGCACGGTGAGTTTGGCCCTCCGAGAGCGCAGAGCAGCCTCCGTGGCCTGGCACTCATAGGAAGCGTCATCAGAGAGCTCGGCACCTGTGATCTCCAAGTTGTATTGCCCAGCATCCGCAGAGCCCACGACCCGGTACCGTGGCCAGGCTGCAGGGACAGAAAAGGGAAGACTAGAGTAAGGTCAAGTCTTGAGGCCTAGACCACCCCGCCCTCCGCCCAGGACTCATGGTCTCCTCAGATCCTCCCCAAAGCAGAGCCCACATCCCTTCCAAGAGAGCTTTCCTTCCTTTTCTCTCCTGCATACCACTGGTAGGTGAGACTGTGAAGTGCCAGACACAGACTCCATAGCAGTGGGACCATACAGCAGGAGGAATGGGGGAGGGGGGGTGATGAAATCTAACAAAATCTAACAAAGCTGTTGGTTGGCAAATGTCTCTTATAACGTTAGCAAAGGAAGAGGAAGAAAAGAAAAGATAACCAGCACAGAGAGCAGAGAGAAGAGAGAGGGCGCTGGTAAACATGGGGCATCTCAGTACTCACAAGGCACTCTGTGTGGCTCACACGGCCTCGCCCTCACCACAGAAGGAGAGTAAGCAAGGTTTACTGGCTTCTCAAAGGACAACACAAACGAGATTTCTACTCCTCTCTAAGACATAGGGTGGGTCTCTGTGCCCAGTCCGCCTTGCTTACAGGCTCCCACTAACTCCCACCCAAATACCTAGTCTCCCTCCCGCTGTCACTGCCTCCCTCTTCAGAGGCTATGGATTCCTCTGACTGCATATCTATCGACCTCAGTCTTTCTCATTTTCTCCCTCATCAACAATAGATGCGTCAAATCCATCTCTTTTCTTTATAGATTGTGCCATGCAGATTTCCTCAACCTAGACACACAGCAAATAATCTCACCACCTTCAAAAATAATAAGACCAGAAATATATAGTTCCCAACCCTCTCTCATCGTTACAGTGCTTCATAGCTAACAATATTATCCTCATAAAGCACACTCTGCCACTCGGTACGAAAGCCAAGGGTGCACTGTTAAGACAGGCAGGCTGTGACTGTTAAACCTGCTTCACCAATCAGCTAGCCAAGGCAAAGAGAGCAAAGCAAGGTGGTTCTCCTCAACTCATTCAGTGGGCAAGCAGCTGAGCTGTAATGAGAGCCAGGTATCTCGACTCTTTACCAAAAAGTGTTTCCGAGGGTCTCTCTGCTATCTTGGGGATATAGAGGGTTAGTGCTTTTTGTCTACAACTGAATCTTTATGCTTTCTCAGCACTGGCTATATAGCATGTGCTTAACAAATGCTTATGGAATTATTAAACAGGAAAGTGCTTAGGCTCATGGTCTCTGAACCGACACAGACCATGTAGGAGGCAAAGAAAAGCAAGAAGCGCTCAAAAGGCAGACAGGGAAGGGAGAAACACTGTAATTATATTATAATTTAAAAACAAAAACAAACCAGAAAGGGCAGACGGTGCCAGAGCATCCTGTCTACATGGGGCAGGACAGGCTTTGCTAGGAGTGCCTCCTGCCTGACCTGTCTGCAGCACCCCATGGTGTTTCCCTGACTCTGTCCAAAGCTCTCAGTGTAAAGTACTGTTTCCCTTGATCTCTCAGGCTGCACACTGCCTTCCCTGCGCCAATCCACAATCCGAGGAAAGGGAGAGTTGGCAGGTAAAAGTGACAGACCTCAGAAGTGAAGAACAGGACACAGGGGAGGAGTGAATCCAGGAATCTGGGTTGAGAGTAGAGAACAGGATTTCTGGACGCTGGGGGTTGGGCAGCTATACATACGCCTTTCTTTCTGCTGCACTGGGGATCGAGTCAAGGCCTTGCCCATGCTAGCATGCACTCTAATGAATGTTCCTCCAGCCCATTACCCACCTTTGAGGCCCTGGCCCATACCCAGAGCCAGCCCGTCCTTGGTCCATTGTACAATTCCAGAGTAGTTAAGGAGCACACATGGGAGCACTGCCCGCTGTCCGGCCACCACGGTCTGATCGGCTGGCTCCTGGCTGAAGCGAGTCTGGGTCCCAGGCAAAGCCAGAGCTATCAGCAGGAAAGAGAATGAGTGAGGACAGTTGTGCCAAGGGAGGTTCCTCACAGTATTCCACTCTTATCCCGAATCCAGTCCACGTAATCCCTTTACTTCATAATCTCCCTCTCAGGGCCCCAGGTATATGTCTGAGGCTCTGGAGGGCTTAGCAACAACAGAAAATGGTTTGGTATTACCTAAACGTCTTTGGATTGGATCTGACCCAATTTTGATCATTGACGTCCAGGGAGCAGCACTGACCTAATGACCACCAGCCACGTTAACAGCAGAGCTTGGTCAGAGTTCAAGCCCTTGCTGTCCAGGTCCTAGGCTGTTCTCTACAACTCCTTCTGCATCTGCAGCCTCCTCTTAGACACTCGGGTTCACGGATGACACATTCACAATGAAGGAGGCTATTAGGCCACGATCCCTTTCTCCCCGCGCTGTGCAGGCCAACAGATGTTCAGCCTCACCAGGTATAGCATATCTACTTGTGTGCATTGACGATTCCTTGGCAATAGTATCTCCAAAGCCAAAGAGCCCTGAGTACAACTCATGGAGCGTTGGCCCTGTTCCATGTGTTTACCCTTGACCCAAGGGCCGGAGCCCGGAGATGTACACACTGATACATCTTGCATACACACAGCCTCCTGCATCATGGGAGCTGAGACAGTGTGGGACTTTGTTCTGTTCTCCCTCTGGCTCCAGGAGCTACACATGGCTGCCTGGCTGGCAGCTTGGCCGGGAGCATTTGATTAGAGAACTGCAGAGTAATTGCCTTTAATTGTGGAGCCTAAATGGAGTAGGGAATTGGATTGCAGATTTCTTCTCTCTTGCTCCCACCAACAGGCTTGCTTCATCAGTGGCTGGTCCCAGTGGTGTGTCACGCCTGCACACTGTGCACAGCACGGTGTGGGCATTAGCATCCTACGCTGGGATATTGGGAAGCAGAGGGACTTTTGAAGGACCGGCAAAGGGTTAAGTCGGAGGCTTCCTTGCCACAGCGCCAATGGGTCAGGCCAGGCAGTCAAAATAAGCTCTCTTCAAAGCTTAGACTTCCGGTTCATCTCTCCCTCCAGCTCCCTGAGTCTATAGAGGCCATAATCCAACTCCTTCCAAACCCAGCCTCCCTATTCCCACTCCTCATTTCAAGATCTCACACTCACTCAGTATAGAGGCTTCTCCTCAGTTCTTGCTCTAGGATCAAACCCAGCGCACTCTACCACTGAGCAACACCCTAGCCCTGAGAGCCAAGTCAACCCACTCCTTTCTTTTCTCCTCTTCTTTTCAAATGTGGGCCTTTCTGGAAAATCCTCCTAGGCTGAGTCCGTAGCCCCTGTCCAGGCACAGCTTGTCTCACCTCTGAGCCTTGCTGTGGCAGCTCTGGCGACAGGATTTCCTGTCCGAAGCTGTCAGGGAGTATGTTCATGTTTTTGTCCTCGGGAGGTGGGAGGCAGCTTGTTGGTGGAAATGTTTGCCCTATCTGTTCCACTAGGATGGACACTCTCTCCTCATTCTGGGTCTCCTGGAATCTAGTGGCCAGAATAGGACACAGGAAACAGGCTTTGCCCTTGGTTAAGTGTGACAATGCATCTCTCCGGATCTGAGAGGGCCATGGTGTTAGAAAAGGGGTTCCTTTGTGTGTGTGTGTGTGTAAATGGCTCCACAATTCTGCAGAACTGATTTCCCCATCCTGTCTCTTAAAGAAGAGAAAGATAAGGCTCATCGACATTTCCAGAGACAAGGGTAGCAGGTGTTGAGATCCAGGAGGAAAGTTTGGTCAGGTGAACAGCCAGTGTTAATCAATTCAAGCATTTGCACACATGATTATTCAAATTTATTTATACCCTTGCACACTCTCGAGTGCAGCTATGTGCTTCAAGCTCTGTACTCCTGCTTCTCTACCTCGAGGACCCTAGAGCCTAAGTCAATGGCTTGTGAGAGGCGTGGCCTGTGAACTTGGATCAGAGTCTGGATTGATATTCATAGCTTTTCTACGTGAAGCCTGGGCGATGGTCTATTATTGGCATCTCCAGGGGCCAGTGGGCAGCTGGTTGCACATTTACTTGCAATGAGAAGGTCAGTGGCCTGCAATGGGATGATGGTGGGATACACCTGGAGTTGGGTAACAATGATCTCGCTGGAGTGAGAAACAGACAACTCTGGCCTGGTACTTCCTTATCTGGTCCTCCACTTGCTCACTGTGTGATGACAAGTCTGGACTACACTGCCAAAAACACTTTCTACTCAAATGCTAGGAGAATCGGCTTAGGAGAAGACTCAAGGTTTCCATGATCTCTCTGCAACTCTTCCCAACTGAGTGGCCCTAGCCAAGCTGTCCTCAGAGCCTCACTTCCTTATATGAGAATGATATGTCTACTCCCTGAGCTTCTGTGAAATCAAATGTGGTGCGGTGGATGGCAGGCCTATCAAAGGCCTGTACCTACTAAATAGCTATGACTACTATTTACCCCTGAGCAGTTGGACAACCAGAGGTACACATTGGAAACCCCTCCCAGGAACCCAAGAAGGAGTGACAGAAGGGTGGTGTCTGTAAAGTTTGAAGTAAAATCTTTTTTTTTTAAATTTAGCCCTACTGGAAGCAATTTAGTCTAAAAACAGAATGGAAGCAATGACCAACAAATTCTAACAGTGAAGGAAATGGGGGAGGGGGTCGTCTGAGAATTTGAATCCACAGAAAGACCACTTTCTGTACCAAAGTCACCAGCAGTATTTGATGTCCCCAAACAACCCTGCAGCCAAGACAGCATGAGAGAGAGAGAGAGAGAGAGAGAGAGAGAGAGAGAGAGAGAGAGAGAGAGCGCAGATGTCATGGGTGGTACTTAAATCAACTTATGATTAGGGAAAATTCTAAGTCTGATCTAACTTAATTCTTCTCTCTAAACTCTAGATAAACTGGGTTTAGGTCACCCTTTGTGTCCTCGCACAGGTCTCTGGAAAATACCACTCACTCCTTTGGGATTCAAAGGGTCACCTCTTCTGGGATGCCTTCCATGACTTACTTACATTACCTGGGAACCTATCTGGGTATAGGAGGGATTTCCTGCTACAGTAGGGCCTCACTGCCCAGGACACCTATCTCAGCACAGCCTAGGGGCCCATTTTTGAGTCTGGATTGTGTCACTCACAGCCCTAAGCCACATTACTTGGCACGGGGCCTGACTGCCTGGCACAAAAGGATGCTCTAAGTAAGTCTGGGAAATACCCAAGTCCAACCTTGTAGAACTTCTTCAGGAAAAGGCACTATCAGCCCCTCACCATGCACCCCTGCCCCATCCAAATGAGACTGAAACAGGCAGGATGTAGAAGGAACAGTGCTTGCTCTCTCCTGGAGGAGGAGGATCTCTGAAAAGTAAGATACAGAGCTGAGCTGAGAAGGAGAAGGAGATAGCCTAGAAGGTTCCAATGCAGAGGGTGAACAGAAGTGTGACCGACCATGGAAGAGAAAGCCCAGGAAGCTTGTGGCAGGAAGAGTAGAAGTGTCCTAAAGGTGTTGGTGTCTTTTGGTGTCAAGAAGGTACCAATAACCTAGAACATGTGGCCTAGCAAGTGGCACATCACAACTCAAGCATACCTCCAAAGTCCTGGGTACCTAAGCTACCAGCTAAGCCTAGTGGAGCCTGCTCAGAACTGAGAAAGAAATCAGTCATCCATATGTCTGGGCCCATGGACATGCCTTCTTTCATGTCCAGAAACAGAAGCGGTATAGTACTGCAATGCAGAGAAAGAACCAGAAAGGGCTTGGCCATGGACAGATGAGCACAGAGTAGTCTCTTGCTAGCATCAAAACAACAGCCTCATGCTTCTCATAGTGCTTTACAGTGCATTCTCACTTTGATCCTGCTCCCTCCCAGACTTCAGACTCCAGCACAGGAATCTGATCAGGTGAAGCAGCCACAAAGACAGATCACCATGCAGATGCACAGACGCACCTATGCATACATGTGTGTGTGTGTGTGTGTGTGTGCGCACACACACACACACACACAAGGAGGGGACATTAACAGAGGTACCGAGACAAGCACTGAGAGACAAAGTCAAAAACAGACATCCACACAAAGGCTGAGGAGCCAAGGAACAAGGAAAGATCCTTAAGACAAAGATGTCTGTAGAGTCGTAAAGGGGCCAAGGGAGAAAGGAAGGCAGAGGAGAGCTACAGACCAAGAAAGACCAAGAGCAGAGAGGCTCAGGGTCCACAGAGGTAAGGTAGGCTCAGCCTTTTCTTCAAAATTAGGTACCTAGAAAGGATCCACTGCTTGAGCAACTTCTCTCCTACCTCCACAGGGATTTCTGGAGACTCAGCTTGGGTTTTCCCTCAGGGCAACAGTGAACAGGGCTAATAAAGACAGACTCCTGCTGGAGAGGTAAGGGAATCAGAGGGACCCTGGTGAACTTGGGAGTGCAGCAGAGCCCTGCAGAGCTCTGTGCTCCCTGCTAACCTAAAAAGAGAGTGGGAGCTAGAGAGCCCTGCTCCCCCACCACCTCCCTCTGTTTCCTTCCCAGCACCACCAGCTAGACACAAAGCTCTTCTAGCCTCAGACTCAGGGTTGCTCCTCCCCTAATTCTCTCACAGTGTTGTCGGGCGTCTGGGTAGAGCACATACCACAGCCTGCCTGGATTAAAAATTACTCATGTGTGTTTTGTCTCCCCGCTCTCCTGGGAACCTCTGAGAACGGAAGCTTTGATTTACCATTTCTGTTCACTCAGTCCCAGCAATGCTCCACAATAATAAATACCTCCAATTATAAAATGCTGATTGCGTGCCACACTGATGCCTTATAGACGTCGTTCCTAGCATTATAACCTGCTACACAGTGGTAGTTATTACCTGCATCTTAAAGAAAGGGGAATTACAGTCTGGCAGATATGAGGGACAAACAGGCTTCCCAGCTCCATAGTCTCCACTCTTGGTACTGTTAGAGTCCAGGAATATCCAGTCTTGTAAACGAATTGGCTTTAGGCTACTGGCAGCCTTAGGTCCTGACCATCTGCC